CAACATTTGGTCTATGTATCCTGAGCTTTTAAGGGGGTGGATCTGAATACTTTGGAGGTTCAGCAGAATCTGGGGAAGGGGGAACCCATTCTCTTCCCAGATGCTCCGTAATTTTCCAATGATAGTACAAGATTGGAGAAAAAAAAAAAAAAAAACCATCCAAATGGCAAGGGATGTCTCTGGGTTTAAAAAAATGCCAGAGAACAACCAAACATATTTGGACAATCCTGGCTGATTAATGTCTGATTATTTACCACAAAAATCTCTGCTCATTCTCAATGAGCTTATTTTAAGGAAGACGCTTAGGGCTCTGAAGATGTTTACTTACAGATATGAGACATTGGGAGGATGTGTGGCTCGCTTAGCCTCCTCAATCTGAGCTTCACTTACATCTGTTCCAACCACCTTCTCAAAATACTTTGCCAGCAGGAGAGTATTTTGGCCTGAACCACATCCCACATCCACTCCCAGCTGGAAGCAATTCACCTTAGGAGGAAAAACAGCAATAAGGACCCGTCCCATCCAGACAGGCAGAGAAGGTATGTTGTGGACCCTGTTGGTGAGAGTATGTCGACTGGTGGGGCCCAGGAGGAGAGCCTTCTCTGCCATTGCCCTCACCCTTTGGAATATTCTCCCCCCAGGGGTGCAACAGGCCCCCTCCCTCCCAGCTTTCCAGAAGGAACTGAAGTCCTGGCTCTGCTGCTTGTGTGGGGCGAGAGAGAGATATAACCAACCCTCGGGGTGGCTGGCACTGTGAGGACACTCCCTAAGCCATCAATCTTGGAAGATATTCATTATTTGTAGGACTATTATTTTATTGTATTTTAATTAATATTTATTCTTTTACTGTAAATCGCCCAGAGTTGCTTCTAGGGAGATGGGCAATGACAAATGTGAAATATAAATAAATAAACCTCAGGAAAGTCACAGAATAATTTATAGTGTTATTTTCTTCAATATTTTGCAAATGAACAGTTCCTAGTTTTCAATAGCATGTTTTGAACCAGTTGTTACCATCTAATTTGTACATTTCGCTTTGCCATTGATTGAACGACCATGATGTCGTGGAAGGGCAAATGCAGCACCGCTGAAAGATGAAACACTGATCTCCGGTGACTTTTCATTTCTAAGAACCCCTCTGTGCTAGCGTGACCTCAGAGGTATTTCAGAAAATGAAAATGCCATTTTTATTCCTCTCTGCATATGGAACTCACTGAAAAGCAGTAATTTTGCAGCGCTCTGTGGCTGCAGAAATGCAGGTGGGAGGCTACCAAGAGCTTACAACCATCAGCTGCCCAACCTCGGACTAAATCCAGGGAAAGAACCCACACCACATTAAAATAAAGTAGGCACAACCCATAGAAACATACACCCCGTGCTCCATCCAGGCAAAAAAAACACACCAAAAAAACAAATCCACTAATACACACACGTTTGTACCAAAATGCCTACTTGTGTTTTTATGCCTAGGCCTCACACTGATTCCACCTCCCTCAAGGCCAGCGTTTCTCAACCTCAGCCACTTTAAGACGCGCACCCTTCTTACCACTTCGGATGGCCAGACTTCAATTCCAACCAATTGGGAAATATCACTCGGCGTGCAAAGAGCAACTTAAATACATCCCTCCCCGAAATACAAAGATTCTAGTCTTCATGTTTCCGAATAATTGCTGATTTCCCCCCCCCTTTTAATTGGGTGTTCTCCACCCTGACAAACAGGAGGGAGAAGGACCGTTCCCCGACGCAGCTGGATTCAAGGGAGCATCTTCACACGCGACCGCATCTCTTGAAGCCGCAACCCAAGCCGTCCTTCCCTCCTCCGAGCCCGCTACCTTTTTCTCTAGGTAGGCGAGGACCACGCCCTGCAATTTCTCCTGAAGCGAGAACCTGTATTTCTGATACACGGCAGCGTGGTCTTTATCCTCAAACAGGCGGGCGGCCATTTCCCAGCGTTTAGGTGAACTTCTGAACTTGGGCAGAGCGGCTGAAGTCGCTCCTCTGCCCGCATCCGCCTTCGATACCCGCGCGGGAGGGCGTAAGAGGCGGGACGGAGTTTGCGGAACGGCTCCTCGGCGCCTGAAACCGAGGCATTACGGGTGTGTTAGCATCGTGATTCCCAAGCGTGGTTTGTTCTCCAGAGCATCCGAGGGAAAGACAGGAACCAGGGGGTGGGAGCTTCGCAGTGAGAGACCCACGCTTGAAATAATCGTTCTTACAGTCAGGAAGTTACTCCTTAAGGCAGTGCTTCTCGACCTCAGCAACTTTAAGCTGTGTGGACTCCAACTCCCAGAATTCCCCGGCT